CCAGATAGGCGATACCTTCTTTTGAGTTGTTGGCCAGGGTGGCCAAAGGGATTCCCAGATAGTAAGCCAGCATAGAACTGGGAGAATGAACAGCAGACCCCAATCTTATCTAAAGGAATATTGACAACTGATTGCTACTAGATGAGGAACAGCTGATCTTCCTAAAACAAAGACCTCTAGATAGGCTGACTAGATTCACCAGAAAGGCAAGTAGTGGGGAATGGCTAGGGGTGTCAACGTCACAGCAGACAGTAGCAGGGATATCAGAGTGTAAGGGCTCTAGTGGGGGGAGGATGGCTATGGGAGGGTGCCATCTGGGAAGTGGGCATATAGTTGAATAAGATGGTTTGGGATGTTCTTTGTGATATACAAACATACAAAAAATCAACAAATTTTTAAAAATGTATTACATTTGAGGAGGAAGCATGGAAATTTATGTCATGTTCATTAGTAGAGGTGATAAACATTACCATTGAAATCTACCTGATGACTTGAGATATACACAGGTGCCAAGGATCCAAGTGCAACCAATCTATGACTAGTAATAATCAGATACATACAGATTAGAGATACATGAACCAACATCTCAGTGATAGTAGCAAAAACACTGAGTCTTTTTGCAAGGAACAATATATTCTAAAATGAAATGGAGATCTTTTTTAAAGGTTAAAAACTCATTCAATTTTATGTCTTACGGGGCTTATACTGAGTTCAATATTGTATAACTGTATTAATTCGACTGTGAACCTAGAAACTTACAGCCACATGTGAAAGAGATGTACTCTTGCTGTAGAGTGTGTTACTGAATATGTTAAAGCTGTAGTGAAATGCTTCTTCTGATCATGTAGTTACTAAAAAGTAAAAGCTGGGCGTGGTGGCGCACGCCTTTAATTCCAGCACTTTGGAGGCAGAGGCAGGTGGATCTTTGTGAGTTTGAGGCCAGCCTGGTCTACAAAGTGAGTTCCAGGACATCTGGGGCTCCAGAGAGACCCTGTCTCAAAAAGACCAGAAAATAAAAAAGTTTAAAAAAAAAAACAAACAAAAAATAAAAGAAAAATAAAGCCAGGCAGGCATGGTGGTTTGTGCCTTTAGTCTCAGCACTTGGGAGGCAGAGGCAGGTGGATCTCTGTAAGTTCAAGGCCAGCCTGGTCTATATAGCCACTTCCAGGCCAGCTGAGGCTATAGGAAGACTGTCTCAAAAAGAGTAAATAAATATATAAATGTAAAATCTTTTAAAATTTTTATTATTTTGTGTGTGTAGAGGGTTAAGCATTCTGGTGGGACTTGGTTCTTTCCTTCCACCACATGGGTCCCAGGGCTAAAACTCAGATCATCAGATTTGGTGGCAGGTGCCTTTACCCACTGAGCCATGTCACTAGCCCCTGGTTTGGAGTTGAGACAGGATCCCATGTAGCCCAGGCTGGCCTCACACTCCTGAGCCTCTTCCTCTACCTCCCAAGTCTGCACCTCTACGTGTTCCTACCCTTGTCTCAGTGTTCATGGTGTTCTCACTCTCAGGTCAGAAAGCAACAGTGAGCGCAGAAGAAATGGCTGACTTCTACAAGGAGTTTCTAAGGAAGAACTTCCAGAAGCACATGTGCTATAACAGGTAAGTGTTTATGTCTTTCCTAAAAGTCCAAATAGCACATCCAGACTGGGTAAGGATTCTTTTTTTTAATTATTATTTTTATGTGTATGAGTGTATTGTTTGTATATGTGTAAGTGCACCTGTGTCGTGCAATGCCCATGGAGCATTGGATCCCTTGGAACTGGAGTTACAGATGGTTGTTAGCCGCCATGTGGGAGCTGGGAACTGAACCCAGGTCCTCTGTAAGAGCAGTCAGTGCTCTTAACTGCTGAGCCATCTCTCCAGCCCCTAAACCAAATGTTTTTTAAAAAGTGTTAGGGAGCCAGGCATGGTGGTGCACGCCTGTAGTCCCAGCACTTTGGAGGCAGAGGCAGGTGGATCTCTGTGCGTTCAAGGCCAGCCTGGTCTACATAGTGATTTCCAGGACAGCTGGGGCTATAGGGAGACCCTGCTTCAAAAAAACCAAAAAAAAAAGAACAAAAAAAAAAAAAACGTTGGAGAGATGGCTCAGCAGTTAAAAACACTGGTTCTTCTTGCAGAAGAACAGGGTTTGAATCCCAGCACCCACTTGGCAGCTAACAACTGCCTGTAACTCCAGTCCCAGGGGATATGACAGCCTCTTCTGACCTCCATGGGCATTGCACGACACAGATGCACTTACCTACATGCAGGCAATACACACATACACATTAAATAAAAAATGATTTAAAATTAAAAAAATAAAAATAAAAAGGTTTTAGCTTTTGGGTACATCATAATGGCATGCATTTACTGGCAAAATGGTAACATATAACTGTTGAGATTTGCTTTAAAATATAACAGTAACAGAGCTGGATAGGGCCAGCTGGGGTCAAGCCGTCAGAGGACATGGATGACTGTGGAAGCTGGATGAGCACAGGGCTGAGGTTAGTCCTAGACATCTGGTTTCGGTGTCCAAGGCTGTTGTGTATTACTCTGACCTAGTCATTGACTCACACTGTGCTTATGGGCACAGAGCCTGTCTGCCCCCTGCAGGCTCTGAGAGTGAAGCCACACTGGGGAGTCCACTGCTTCCTCCTGGAAACAGGACGCCTTGGTTGGCTCCACCCACACCAAGGGATCAGGTTGTCTGTCTCCACAAGAGCAGCATGGCTTTCCCTGACCTGATCACTTAGACCCCGATAGAATATCCTCTCGATTTTGCAAAGCCTTTCCTGTCTGCCTCTTGGAGAATTGCCTCAGCTGATGAAATGTAAAGTTGCCATGCTGACAGTGGACATTAGGATCTGATGATCCCTCCTTGCACCTTAACTGCTGCATGGCCGCTTGTTCTGTTACCTGCGGAAAGCAGGCAGCTGACCGTGTTGTCACTTCCTTAGAGCTGCTGGTTTCTTTCCTACCTCCGTGCTGAGATCCAGGAAGTTGGTAGATCCGGCCCTAGGAGAAGGCTCAGCAGCTCGGAGGGCTGGGAAAGGCTGCTGTGTGTGATCTAGGGGCCTCAGGTGCTTACACCAGGGTCAGGGATGTGCCTTCCCTCTGTGTGGCGAGCTCTTCAGACTTCACTAACCACTGATAGTGGATGGGTTTCCCGAGTGCCTTGCAGGCAGCAGCCCATGTACAGACTTCCCAAGGTTGACTAAGAGGCTCAGAGACAGTTCACCCAGGACAGGGACATTGTGGAGCTTCTCACAGTGGAGCACTTTGTCCATGTGCTTCTTGTGCAAATTAGGCCAATGCAGGGCACTCCAGGTTCTGGAGAAGCCTGCTGGGTGGTGTGGTGCTGCAGTGCTCATGTCCCCTCTGTGTCCAGGAATGCCACTGGGCCAGGGAAGGTCCTGGGAGCCCTTGAGTAAAGGCCTGGAGGATTGAGGCCTCCAAGAAAGGCAATCACCAGGGAAGGAGGTGGCTTGTGTGTACAGCCACCTGGGGTGGGGGTATCGGTGACTGACTGCACCTCCTGAGGGAGCTGCGGTTGCACCACCTGTGCCTCTCCTGTTCTCTGTAGAGACTGGTACAAGCGTAATTTTGCCATCACCTTCTTCATGGGGAAAGTGGCTGTGGAGAGGATGTGGAGAAAGCTACGGCAGAACCGAAAGATGAGCGTTAGGAGCCCGTTCTGACCTGACCACCCTCATCCGGGTTCCCTTGAGGGCCTTGGGAATTGTGAGTGACCCCAAGTCTCACATCTTTGGAGTCTTTGGCCTCTCTTGAGTATGGATGCCCAGCTGGCTCATTCTCACAGACACGATGCGCTGCATCCCCACTCTATGCCTTGAATTATACCATTTCAAAACAGAGCAATCTAAAAATGTGAATAAACTTTACTTAAAGAATTGACACTGCAGTGCTGGAAATATCTGGGAAGTTGTCTGTCCAGTGAACCTTCAGCCGGGTGTGGGTTGGGAGGATACTCAAGTCTAAGCCCTGACGATTGTGAAGTTGTCCTCACGTAAGCAAGTGAGGTGCCTGCTCTGAGCGGCTGGGTGTGTCTGAGCAGAGGGTGCCCAGAGCTGGCCTTTGTTTTTCAGCGAGGTGGCCCTCAGCGTCCAGAGACCCTGCATCATATCCATCATCACAGTAAAGACCCTGCACAGAGAATGTGGAGCAGGTGTCATTGTGGGGGGTTGATGGTCACCATTGCCATTCAGATCTGAATGTCTCCTGAGGGCCCATGTGCTGAAGTCTTGGTCCCAGCCCATGGCACTGTTAGAAGGTGGCAGAACCTTGAGGAGGTGGAGCCTAGTGGGAGGAGGTGGGTCATAGGGACATGCCCTGAAGGGGCATTAGGAGTGCAACCCTTCACCTCTCTCTGCTCTAGGCTGCACCAGGTGAGCTGCCTCCTCTACCCCTGGCTCCCTGCACCAGCTAGTGCCTCACCACTGGCCCAAAGACAACGAGGCCAGGTGATCGTGGGCTGAAACTTTCGAGTCTCAGCCAAAAATAACCTTTCTCCCTCTAACTTGGTTTCTTCAAGTATTTTGTCCATGGCAAGAAGCTAGCACAGTGTCCATGGGTGTGTTACTACTGAGGGACCTTGCCAAACCCACAGACCCCATGTCACCTGCACTGTGTCCATTTGTCCCAGAATTGCAGCTGGTACAGGGATAACGCCATCACTGAGAAAAGGGACTCTGCCTCAGCTCATGATTTGGTGACCAATCCAAGAAAGACAGTGTGGGAGTACCGCAATGGCAGTCCGCCCCTAAGATCCTCAAGGCTCCTGGAATCACTTGCTTGTGTTTCAGGGAGGAGAAGCTCCAGCAAGGTTTTCGGGGTGGGGGGCAGGTAGCATTAGTCAGGGGCTCTGGAAGCAGAGCATCCAGTCCCCACAGCTGGGAAAGCTCAAGGCCAGGGACTGACATGAACCACCTGTGGAGAAGCTGCTGACTTCCTGAAGACAGGGCCTTGCCAGGTCCTCATCTGGTAGCAGTGGCTTCAAGCACAGGAACACAGTGGCAGGTGGCAGGGACCTGGGCTTCTCACCCCTAGCCTCAGGCCAAAGCTGCTGTCTTTTGATATTAATTTATTCATTCATTATGTGTGCAGAGCATGCATGTGTCACAGCACAAGTGTGGAGGTCAGAGGACAAAACTCTTGGGAATTGATTCTGTCTTTCCACCATGTGAGCTCCAGGGATTGACCTTGCGTCATCAGGCTGGTGGCAAGTGCCTTTACCCACTGAGCATGTCGCCAGCCCCAAGGCTGCTGTCTTTGAAGAGTGACTTCAGGTGAGCTATCATGAATTCAATCTGGAATCAGACGTGAAATCTGAGCTATCTGTTGCAAATTTACAAAACCAGCAAGAGAGGCAGTTGGGACCCTGTGGCTGGCTGCTCTCCTGGGTGGGAAGCTCTGACTTTGGGCACTATGGCTCAGAACCAGCTGCTTCTTGCAGAGGTCTCAGCCTTTAGTGCTGTTGGGATCACAGGACTCACAGTCTTGACCTCAGGACAAAGGGTTGAGTCTCAGGACAGTGAGCAGGTCCTTGGTCCCCAGCTGGTGGCATATTAGGGAAATTCTGGAAACTGGGTGACAGGAAGTAGGTCACTGGAGGCAGGACCTCAGAGTGTGTTGTCTCTGGCCACCATGGCCTTGCTCTTTGCTTCCTGGCCCACCATGATGTGAGCTGCTCAAAGTGCCATGCCCTCCCCACTGTGGGGAGCAGAGCCCTCTGAAAGAGGAGCCCAGATGGCCTTTCCTCCACGAAGTTGCTGGTACAGGATCAAAAAGCAGACACATACTCTTCCCTGTGGCTTTGTGAAAATAGAGTTCCTGGAATGTCGTCAGAGGTAGGCAGACCATGGGGGCTATGGATCAGGAATCTGCAAAGAGCTCCCAGAAGGCCCCAGTCTGTACTGTTCCTGCAAGTCTCCTGAGATTGCCCTGCCATGGGCCACATGGCACTGAAGCTCAGGAGTAGTGATAGGTAGTTGTCGTCCCCAAGAGACATGTGTGAGGTTGGGATCTCAGTAGCTTGTGTTCTGCTCCGCACTTAGTTCATGCCCAGAAGTTCAACTAATTCAGTGTTACTGTTACTGAATTACTTATTTTTTATTTTTGTTTTATGTGTAAGAGTGTTTTCCTGCATGTATGTAAATGTTCATGTGCATACAATGCCCTCTGAGGTCAGAAGAGGACTTTGGATCCCCTGGAACTGGAGTTACGGGTGATTGTTGGCCACCGTGAGGGTGCTGGGAACTGAACCCCAGTCCTCTGCAAGAGCAGCCAGTGCTCTTAACCACTGAGCATCTCTCCAGCCCCTATTACTGGATTCTTTTTTCCCTCTGTAGCCCCATCTAGCCTGAACTTGCTGTGTAGACCAGGCTGGTGTCAGTCTTACAGAGATTAGCCTGCCTCACGCTGAGATTAAAAGTACGCACTTGCACACCAATCCCAGCCTGGTTTTGTTTTTGTTTTTTGTTTTGGTCTTTCTGGTCTCCCTGTAGCCCCAGCTGACCTGGAACTTGCTATGTAAACCAGACTGGTCTTGAACTCACAGAGGTCCGCCTGCCTCTGCCTCCCACATGCTGGGATGAAAGGTGTGCACCACTATGCCTGTTTTTTTTTTAAATGATTTTTTAAAAATTTATTTTTATTTTATGTGTACGCGTGTATTGCCTGCGTGTAGGTAAGTGCACCTGTGTCGTGCGATGCCCACAGAGGACAGAAGAGGCTGTCGGATCCCCTGGAACTGGAGTTACAGACAATTGTTAGCTGCCATGTGGGTGCTGGGATTCGAACCTGGGTCTTCTGCAAGAACAGCCAGTGTTCTCAACTGCTGAGCCATCTCTCCAGCCCCTTAATGATTTATTTTATTTATATTTTATGTGTACCTGCATGTATACAGGTGCACTGCAGGGGTAGCTGGTGCCCACAGAGGCCAGAAGACAACTCTGGATCTCCTAGGACAGGTGTTACAGACAGTTATGTCATCATCTGTGTGCTGGGAACAGAACCTGGGTGCCCTGTATGAGCAGCAAGTGTTCTAACCACTAACTGTTTAGACATCTCTCTAGCCCAGTGTTCTGTTTTTTTAAAAACTATGTCAGCCTGGTGTGATGGTACACACCTTTAATCCCAGCACTTGGGAGGCAGGGGCAGGCAGATCTCTGAGAGTTCAAGGCCAGCCTGGTTTCAGAGCAGAAACTAGAGACCCCACCTCCACAAGGTGGAAGATGAGAACTAGTTCCCCGTAGTCATCCTCAGACCTCTACACATGCCACACAGCATGTAATGTGCATGCCTATATTCCACACACACCTCTCTCACACACACACACACAAATATCTATCTATCTATCTATGTATGTATATATATTTGTATCTATTATCTATCTATCTATCTATCTATCTATCTATCTATATATATATATATATACACATACCCCCCAAACACCAAAATGCCTACAATAATATTTTATTTGAATGTGGCTGTGACAGGGAATCATTTTGACATAAATTTTTTTTTTTGTCTTTGAGACGGTCTCCCTGTAGCCCCAGGCTGGCCTTGAACTCTCAGAGATCTGCCTGCCTCTGCCTCTAGGGTGCTAAGACTACAGCGTCTCCTACCAGGCCATAGCTCATGGCTATCTCAGTGCATGCTTTGTAGTGATTTTACCACAAAATGCTTGCTTGATGACATTTAAATATTTTTTATGTTTAGATTGTGTGATTACATTAAAAAAAAATCTCAAAAAGTAAAATGACATTGCCTGTCCTCGCTTTGTTTTGGTTGTGTTCGGGGAAACTTTCATCTACCCAGTGTCCAGGAACAGAACTTGTGGCCTCAGAGGCATAGGAGCCCTGGGCTTGACTCAGGTCAGTTATAACAGAAGTCTGATCAGAGGACTTTACTTAATCCTGATGCTATGCCAAGCCTGGTCAGCCTCCAGGCCTCAGTGCATGTAACTGGAATAGTTCCCGGGTTGCAGAACCTCAGACTGGCTCTGGGTTCAGTGTTTGGCCTTTCCCGGCTCTTCTGGAACATTGGAATTACAATGACTAATAGTTCTGTCTTCCACAAAGATGTCTGCAGGCGGGTGGATCTTCAGCAGCTGTCTGTGGAGTAACAGGTCCTCCAGGGACCTCCCCAAGTCCCATGACCAGATGTAGAGAAGTCTTGCATCTAGGACCTGCTCAGTGTCCCGAGCACTGTCCTCCCCTCAGCCCTGAAGTCCTCTGTGCAGAGTAGCTGGCTCTGAGCCTTGGTGCCTGACCTCACTGAAGCTTCCAACCCAGAGGAGAACAGCGTTCCCTTCTGCAGCCGTGGTGGTTCTGTAAATGTGTAACAGATACCTTAGACTTCCTGTTAGTGGGGAAATCACATGGGAAATGGTGTGACCAAGTTCTGTTTGCTGATGTTTTTTGCGACCAGCATTGCTCTTTAAAACAGAAATAAAAATCCTATCTTCTGCTGACAGTTTCAAGTTAGAATCCAACATGCCTCTGCTTAGTAAGCTGGCAACACAGTGTGGACCAGATTTTCTGATGAAGAGGATTGGTTTTCCCAAGTGAAGGTGGGGCCCGCTCAGGAAGCCCCTCATGGGGAACCAGCAGAGTCTGGGGTTCAGGTGTTGTTAGCTCTTTTCTCTCTCCAGCCATTGTGGTGGCTTGAGTCATGGTGGGCTCTCTTTCTTTTTTAAATATTTATTATTACTATTTTTTACTTATTTTTATGTTATGTGTATGAGTGTATTGCCTGCATGTATGTGAGTGCACCCGTGTCGTGCAGTTCCACAGAGGTCAGAAGAGGGCTTCAGATTCCCCTGGAACTGGAGTTAAGGACAGTTTGTAGCTGCCGTGTGGGTGCTGGGAATCTAACCCGGGTCCTCTGCAAGA